CACCCCAGCCACGCCGTGGCTGTCCTGCTGCCCTCGGGCTCTGTGGCTTTGCTCTGCTTTGCCCCCCGTCCCCCTGGTCTGCAGACCAGGGGAACGGGGGGGGATGGGGGGGCAAAGCAGGGCAAAGCAGAGCCAAGCCGCGGAGCACGTGGGCAGCGGACAGCCCTGTCCGCTGCCCGCGTGTTCCCCCGCTTTGCTTCCTCTCCCTGGTCTGCTGGAGACCAGGGAGAGGAAGGGCCCCGTTCGTAACTTTGGATCCGCGTAACTCAGGGACTGCCTGTACTTATTCCCAAGGATAGGAGACATTTCATTGCCTTGTTTCCAGCTTGATGTATTTCTTCTGCTGCTTTGTCCAGAAGGAGAACTAAGAAGACTCTTTCTGAAATGTACAGTAGGAACGTTGCTACAATGGAACATAGGCACATGCTTAACTACTTATCTGAGTTGGGACCTTCGATTAAAATCTAGTGTGGACAATGTGGTAACTCAACTTTGTTACCAAATTCCTGTCTACATTTATATTAAAAACAGGGTTTCCTGATGCATTTTAAATCCTGATTTACAGCCACTCTAGGGAAGGCCAATTTGTGCTTGCTATGTATGGCCTTGTTGTTAAGGAAATGGGACTGGGACACAGAAGATCAATTGTTCTGTTCTTTGCTGTGTTGTGGACTATGCTGCCTTGAGCAAACCACCTTACTCTGTTCATATTTTGTATAATTATTCTGTATAGGGGTATGTCTACACTACCACCCTAGTTCGAACTAGGGTGGTTAATGTAGTCAATCGAAGTTGCAAATGAAGCCCGGGATTTAAATATCCCGGGCTTCATTTGCATCTTGCCGGGCGCCGCCATTTTTAAATCCCTGGTAGTTCGGACTCCGTGCCCGTGGAACAAGGTGTAACAGTAGTTCGAATTAGAAAGCCTAATTCGAACTATCTACTCCATGCCGCGGGTAGCCGCGGGCACGGAGTCCAAACTACCGGGGATTTAAAAATGGTGGCGCCCGGCAAGATGCAAATGAAGCCCAGGATATTTAAATCCCGGGCTTCATTTGCAACTTCGATTGACTACCTTAACCACCCTGGTTTGAACTAGGGTGGTAGTGTAGACATACCCTCGTAGTGTTAGTAATTGTTCCTGTTGTCTAGCCCCTTGCCCAAGGGGCAAACCATAGCCTATGTAGGCCATGTTCCTTTGTGGCAAGGTGTGATGCCAGTGGGAAGGGGGGGGGACCCAGGCCTACCCACTATTCTGGCTCCCAACCCAGTGACCCTCTCTCTGGTGGCAGCCATCTTCTGCCATCCTTTTCTCCCCTTGTCTGCTCCTGTTCTCTGGGCCACTTCCCTGTGACCTTTGCACCTTCTTGGCCCTTGTATCAAGGCCGACAGCCTGGGAGGTATCAGACTGGAGCGTCTCTCTGATCCTGTCCAGCACTGTTCTGTCCAAGGTGCCATTGGCTCCCTCCCCTACTTGGACACAGGCTCCCTCTGATGACCCTCTCCCTGCTGGAATGGACTAGAGCACCACTACAATGGCACATGAGCAACCACTCAAAGAATTAAAAATGGAAACTAAACTTTTGTAACTGTTGTTCTTCGAGATGTGTTGTTCACGTCCATTCTATGATCCAACTCCTACCCCTTTGTCAGAATTACGAGCAAGAAGGTACTGAGAGGGTGTGGGGCTGGTGGCACCCGTTACACCAGGGCATATGTGTACAACTCCGAGGACACTAAATTCAGTCCTAGACACCACTGATGGAAAAATTTCCAAAAATTGTGCATGGGGCCCACACACAGCTAGCATGGAACACATCTCAAAGAACAACAGTTACAAGGTTAGCAACTGTTTTTTTCTTTCCATAGCTATATTAAACAAAATGGATCTAGGCAGCAAAAATCCTCTTTCCTTTGGAAGCTCTGAGAAACTACAATGAAAATTTTAGGGTTTTTTTTACAATGTTTATTTTAGCTGATTGTTTATCACTTGTCAAATTTGTTTGCTGGAGGGATCTTAATAATGGTTTGGGTGCGGAGTAGACCATTTTTATTATGCCATTTGTACATTGGTTTTAGGGTATTTCTTTTTTCCTCCTTTGGTTTGTTTAATATTTGTGTTAAAAGACTTTCCAGACTTCTTAAGTTACTCATTTGGGTGGATAGTGTATGTTTGTCATGGGTTTGATTTAATTCCAGAAAGATCTTGCTGTTACTGGGCATGTCCTATGATGTATTCTCACAACTGTGGCTTTATTTCATAGTGACTTAGCTGACATTTTATTTTGACAGCAGCAACTCCCATTGATAAGATATGTGAATTCTGTACCCAGAACGCCAAATGATCTTAGTGTCTATCACAGACCAGAAAGGGAGAGATGCTGATCCTTTAGACTGTGACACAGCATAAGCCTTGGTAGACAAGGAAGTTTTGACCTTTCATGTAACTTCTTAATGGCTAATGTGTTGTACTTACTCAGTTTCAGTTGAGTGAAATGTTCAGCATGAAACACATGGTAGATCTCATCTTTTAATGCAAGAGAGTGGCCTGCATCTAACCAGCTCCTGTATTAGAGAGAAGGGCAGCTGCAGTCTGTTCCATCTTGTGCATTTAGGTGCTGACTTTGGTCTCGTGGCAGACTGCCAAAGCAGCCTTTATCAGGGTAAATTTTGGCTGCAACTGACTCATCGTTTATTATTACATTAACAAAAATGAGGCAACCAGTTTATGCAAGAAAGGGTAAACTGAGGTCAAAATTGTTACGCTTATGCTGTGAGGGACGGTAAGATGCATTATAGAGGGTATGCTGAGCATGTAACCTGACATCCACAGGCATGGTATGAAGGCATGGTATTTTAACAATGTTGCATAAAGCAGTTTGAATACACTGAGACCTTTGGGAACATATTCTTGTGCTGTGTAAATCCTATCAGAACACTCTTGCAAAATGTGTTCTTTGTGTTAGACTTCATATTGAAAACAGAGTAGGACTTCTGGGCATGTATGAGTTCTGTATGGGACATGAAAGATGACATTTGATGGTGAATTTAAACCAAGAGTGTCTGATGTGGCACAACTGTAAATTTTGTGGGACAACTGATGTGTAACTCCAGATGTCAAGGATAGAATTTTTTCATTGTAAAGAATTTTATAGTTTTTTTTAATATGCATTAGATTATAATTAAGTTAACAAAATATGATCATATACCCTTTAGTTAATGACAAGGTTTTGTGAATAACGTTGTTTAGCTTAACCAAAATTCAGGCTATAGTGGTCTTATGCTAAAAATACACTTAACATTCTGTGAGGGCAGTTTGCTTTTAACTATAAACCAATGCAGGTATTCTTTGCTTTTTAAGTAAGGGGCAATCACAAAACTACTCTATTCATTTTTCAGAAAAGGCGACGGCGGATTGACCGAAGTATGATTGGAGAGCCAACAAACTTTGTTCACACAGCTCATGTAGGATCAGGAGACTTATTCAGTGGAATGAATTCAGTAAGTGTATATGAATGGAAAAAAAACACCTTTTTATCATTTGAGAATGTATCCATACAAATACTAGAATAAAAGCTGGAACTGTTATCATTAGAAGACTGATTCATCACTGTGTTACACATTGTTTTATTATGGATTTCAATGGAGTTACAGCATTGTAAACCTGGAGAATAACACAGTGGTGTATCAAGCTCAAAATATTCTAAATCAAAATGTAAACCTAATAAACGTCAATGTTCTATTTACTGATATTATTATCTTGCAAATTTTGGTGCCATATAAATTATAAGGTAGGTCTCTTTTTTCCCCCCTAATGGAAATGAGCCATTTGTGTATTTGCATAGCGCATATTGCAAAATAGGCTAGAAAGAGCTGCTAGAAAAAGACCATCTTTAAAAGCAACAGATAATGCATATATGAAAAATGGATGAAAATATTTCCATAGTATTTCACATTTTTTGTTTCTCTAGTTTACTGATCTTTTGTGCAGATGTGATCAGTCTTGTTTTATTAAGAATTCACCTTTTCCCACCTGAAGCTACAAGCTTATTTGTGACATTAGTTATTCTGCAATCTGTAGTGATGTCACACACAGAGACGTGCAGCTTCCTATGGCAGAAAAGCATAACAACAAATAATCTATGTACAAAGGGACAAAGCGCTTGTTGTCATACACATAGCCTTGCAAACACAAAAGAAGGTGAATAAATGTGTTTTAAATGATTATCTAAAAGCTGAATTTTCTACAGAACATTTTTCAGTGTTTTCTATGAAATCTTAACCAGACCTTTAAGATCTTATTTACCTTGTTAAAGTTTTAAAGCTAGGCAAGGGAGGTGTATGGATAGAAAGATAGCTTTATGTCCTTTGAAATTTGATATGTTTATGTGCCTCTAATGGGTACACTTAAAAGGAAAGAGTTTTAATTGTGAACTTGATTGGAAACAGTGAGTTTTAGTGAATGGGGAGTGAGGTCTCTAGGGCAGGGGTGTAGGAATTCAAGACATGTGGGAATCTTTGAGCAGAGCTATGGAAATCAATCACTTTCAGTTGTTAGGTAAGCAAAAGATGACATTTGTAGTTTCCTGGAAAGGAAGCAGCTTGTTTGCCTTCCCAGCTGTAGTAGAGGCACTTGATATGATTTGATAGCAGGTGGGGGGAGACAAAAGGAAGCGGTATGACATTGCAAACAAAATACCAGGGCTGCTTGTATTGGATGGGGCTTAATTTTACTATGGCTATATGCATACCATTATAAATGGATGTATATCATGTCATCTTGATAAACACATAATGAGCTTTTAGTGCATTTTAATGCAGTATTTTTAGTTTATTTAAAAATAGTTTATCTGCCTGCTCATTAGAAACATAAATTCTCTCTTTAATTTCAATTGATAATTCTTCTGAAGGATTAAGAACCTTTAAATGAGTATTTTAGTTGCTCCTCCTTTGAGACGCTTTCTTTTCTCATAGTCACTTCCCAAAAGGCTGTGATTGCATGAGGATCCTTTTTCTTTCTGCCATTTCCAGTTCTTATTCCTCTTTCTTATAGACTTTAGACTTAGGGTGCATCTATACTGCACCGTTATTTCGAGATGACTAGCGTTATTTCGAAATAACGATGTGAGCGTCTACACAGCCATTCTATTATTTTGAAATAATTTTGAAATAACGGACGGCTTATTCCAAAATTGGTAAGCCTCATTCTATGAGGAATAACACCTATTCCGAAAATAGCTATTTCAAAATAAGGCATGTGTAGATGCTCCACTGCTGCTATTTCGAAATAGCCCCTCACCAGGTCCATTCTAAGTTATTCCTCCACAGTGCCTCCTGGGGCTCTAAATCAAGATAGCACGCCTACATTAGAGAAGTCTGCCTCATACTGATTTTGAGGCTTCCCTAAAGAGTAGACGTGCTATTTCAAAATAAGCTATTCCGGAATAGTTATTCTGAAAAAGCTTATTTTGAAATAAGCGTGCAGTGTAGATGTACCCTTAGATTTTAAGGCAAAAGAGGAATATCATAATAATCTATTGTGGCCTCCTGCATATTCCAGAACCTCTTCCCCACTCTGGCTGAGTTACTGAAGTCTTCACATCTTGCAGTATATTAGTGTAAATGAGAGACTCAAACCATTCACACCCTGTGAGAGGGCATTTGCCCTGTGCTGGCCCTTTAAGGGCAAAACCCCAGTCCTGAGTGAGGGCTGAGAGTGGAGCTCCAACTGAGGCAGTTCTTGCTAATGGGGGCCCAGATGGGAGCTATATAAAGGAGAACTCCTGGAGAGGGAGAACCAAGTGCTGCTCTGGAGAGAGAACAGTAGGGACCTGACTGCCAGGGAAGCAGGAGGATTCCTGGAGGTACAGCAGTGCTGGGGAAGGAAGGCAGAGCTGGGGAACCTCTGGCCAAGCAAGCTCCCAGCCTGCAGGGCCTGAAGCAAGGCCCGAGGCTACTAAGGCTGTAGAGAGGCAGCCATGGTAAGCAGGGGCAGCCGGTCCACACCCCTTTGCCAATGATGAGTGGTCATTACAGACTGCAGTTTGCCTCGGAGGCAGGGGCTATATGAAGACTGGCCGTTTGCCATGGTGGGTACAGGGGAACTAGGTGTTCCCTGAGAGGTGAACAGGGTGCCTTGGGGAGGAGAGGACCCTGGAGTACAAGCAGGATAAACAGCAACCCCATCCCATCCCCTAGAAGGAGGCTCAGAGAGACTGTAGTGGGCACTGCTGGAGGGCAGTGTCCTGAAGAGGACACCGTGGTCTAAGAGAAACATGGGGAGACACCAGGAGAGAGGCATCCAGCGAGTCAACAAGCTATTTCCCAGAACAACCAGCTGAAAGTGCCCTGGTGGTGAGTCAGCCCTGTGACACACCCCAATAGTATGAACTGTGGATCTAATTTCTCTCTTCCATCTCTACATAGGATCTAGCTGTTTCCTCAAAGGCAAAATTAAGTGTTCAGTTGGAGCTCTCCATTCCTGCGTCTGTATCATTCCATATTAACACCTTCCTCTTTTGACTCTGTCCTCCTTTACCTCTGTGAGACCCTTCCAGCGCTCCCATCTTTTCTTTTCTTCAAACACCTACACCATCCATTTGTATTTCTTAGAACTCCCATGTGGGATTCCCTGACTTTTTTTTGCCTAATGACCAGGGCTCACCAAGCGGTGGCAAGCCCCGCTCGCCAGCTGCGTGGTTCTGCACATGCGCAGATCGCTCTGCGCCAGCTCTTCCGGGGTGTAATCTACTCATCATGGGCGAGTAGATTACATTGTTTGTCAAGCCCTGCTAATGACCACTTTATTCTAGGGTGCCAAATACTCTCTCACATCTACAAATTCCTCCTCAGAAGTTGTTTTGCTGAATAACCTTCCACTGTTACCTTCCAGTATAGTGCAACCTGTCCTGCTCCTTTATGCTAACAAACATAAATAGAAATACCAAGACACATGTTCAACACACAAGCTCACATCATCTTTACTTGCTGTAATTTTACCACTTTATTCTAGGGTGCCAAATACTCTCTCACATCTACAAATTCCTCCTCAGAAGTTGTTTTGCTGAATAACCTTCCACTGTTACCTTCCAGTATAGTGCAACCTGTCCTGCTCCTTTATGCTAACAAACATAAATAGAAATACCAAGACACATGTTCAACACACAAGCTCACATCATCTTTACTTGCTGTAATTTTCGTTGCTTCTTGTATCTTCTTGTGTGTTATGTCTCATTTACATAGTAGTCTCCTTAGGAACCTTGTCTTACAGCATCATAGGGAGGCATAGTGCCTTTAAGAAATATGGCCTTAATTTTACTTCACTGCACTCATTCTAACATTTTTGATAGATTCAGAAAGATGATAGTTCAGAATAAATATTACTGGTGCAACATTTTAATAGACTAGTTTTCAGTCAGCATTCTTGACAGTTGTATATCTCTTCCATAGACTTGTATGCTCGTTGCTCCATTGTAGAGTTATGGTTGTAAGCCTGAAAACATGCTGATTTTTGCCTTAGATAGTTAGATATAATTACTTTAGCATCTGATACCCTAACTTTCTGACATTTGCGAATTGGAACATTAAGTGCCAGAGAGAGAACCCCCCCCCTATTAACACAGGCATCTGGTAAGATTTTAGAAGTGACCACTGTTGAAAGTTTATTCTTAGTTGGTTGAGCAGAGTGACTTGTTATTCATATGCTGTTCTAAAATAAAACAACATATCAAAGTTTCACAAGGCCACCAGATGAGCATGTTGTCGGGGCTATGCATTTACTGTAAAGACTTTCACTGAAGACCTGTGTCTGGTGGACTAATCTGTTTCCAAGTTAGTTTAAGCAAGGTTCATCACAAATTATACTACTGTGCCTTCCTTTTAAGTCTTTTGTAGTTACTCCTGCCCATACACTGAAAGTTTCTGAACTGGGTCGACTGCTTGCATTCCCTTTGCTCCTAGTCTCAAAAAAAGATGTGATAGTGAATACCATTGTTGGACAATTTATTTCCTTGAATTGATTTGGAAAATAGCCCTTATGGTTTTTTGGGTGTTAATTTTGGTTCTGTTTACTCTGGTATCAGAACTGTGCTGTCTAAAACATTTTTAAATATGGTTGTTGCCAGAAGAATTCTACCATAGGATCTCTTCATATTGATTTTGGAAACTACACATAAGAGAGAATGTGAATTATGAGTGTGTCTATTATAAAACACTTGAAAATTTAGCTGTTGGTGCTCGGGTTCTTAACTCAATTAATTTGTGTTTTTTGGAAAATAAAATGAAAATGTATTTACTTTTAAATCCTTGCTCTGGTTTGGGGCTGGGGATGAGAGGTTCAGTACGCAGGCTGCCCTGGGGAGAGAGGACTACCTCAGCCCATTCACACTGGAGGAGCTTGGGGCCAGGTGACAAGTGCCTTTCCATGGTGGCTGTAGCTCCACTAGGCACGGGGGGAGGGAGGGGAACGGTCCAGGTTCATCTGCCCCAATGCTGCCCAACTAGAGTGAAGGATGCAGCAAACTATGCACTTCCCTTCACTCCCTGATGAAGGGGAATAGCCAGCAATGTTCATGTGTGAATCGGAGCGGAGCAGATAGGAGCTTCAGGACTCCCCTGTCCTCCCTGAAGGTGCCTGGGAGGTGGGACACTTGGGGCTAGGACAATCCCGGATGACAGGGCAAGGGTTGCATGGCCCCAGGCAGCCCCTTTCACTGGCTTGGTGATTCTGTCTTTTTTCTGTATGGTTTTATGAGAAGCAATCCCCTTCCAGGCACATCCCATTTTTCTGCCAGAACCAAACCCTGTCCTTGCTTTGTCTTATAATAAAAGGAAGCTGTATATTAAAATTGGTGGCCCTAGCTTTTACCATTTAAGAGGAGATGTTGAACAGACAGACAGGTAAACTCTCTAAAATATATAGTAGATTTGTATAATCAGGGGAAAAAATGCTATTTCCCTATCTTTAGCTTAGGAGTTGTTTTTTACTGACTCTTTTGAGTTGTGGAAGGATATATTTTAAATTGCAAGTATCACACCTAGGGACAGGGCCATTTGAAAAGACGGAGACAAATAAATGTGTGCGTGCGCAGGTAGAGGGGGGTGCATATGTGCATAAAGAGCCTTTTCCAACCCTTCTTTAAACATTGAAATGATCTGCCCTAAGGGAGGCTCTCAGAAAGATGTGATTATTTAGATTCAAACTTCATGAGCACACAAGAATTGTGGTAGCTTTTTATGGATATAGTCTGTAAAGCCTTTTTTTTCCCTCCTTCATGTATTTATTTCTTTCAGCTGAAAAAGTTCCTTCAAATAAATCCTTGCCATATAAGTTGATATGTTGAAGCCATGCTTAAATAAATCCTCTGTTGATTGAAGGAATAGGATCAGTTGAAAGAAAAATAAACCTGTGCTCCAGATACATCACCAGAAAAATCTTCCAAAGGGTCTCCAGTGATTTAAGAATCCTGAGGCAAAGAACTGGTAGGCTTATAAAACTATGCATATGGAATCTATTCTACAATGCAAATATTCTGTATTAAAAAATAAAGGTCCTTTTTAAAATTAACTTCATTTATGGATAGGAAAGAATCTCTCTCTAATTCTAATCCGAAGCCAAATTTATATCTTGATATACTGAAGCTCTTGGATTACAGTTGTAGAACAATAAGAGATTTGATTAGTTTTTTTTCAGACTAATCAAATCCGGTTCATGAAAGACGGAATCAGCCAGTATCAATGAGTATCACTTTTTCCCAAGTCTCTCCTGCTTGCCTAAGTGCAAGATATGAAAATTCAAGCAAATCTACTTCTACAGCTCTACCTGTAGAAGTAGAAACACTTTCATTCTGGATATTGCTTCTGTTATTTGCATGTGTCAAAGGTCCACTCCCAAAAATTCTAGTTTTTTGTTGGATTTATTAAGACATGGTTTCTCATACACATAATGCTGCTGTAATTGGGAGAAGACACTTTGGAAAGCACCAGTTCATGTTTGAGCTGTCTTGATGTTTTTCTGTTGCCTTTTCTTTTCTGTTTCTATAGGTGAGTTCAATTCAGAACCAAATGCAGTCCAAGGGAGGCTATGGAGGTGGCATGTCTGCAAATGTTCAGATGCAACTTGTAGATACAAAGGCAGGATAACCTTGGGAAAACGTTTCCAGTGAGTATTACAGTCCTTCCACATGTTGCATTACACAATCTGGTATAGCCTTGTTAGCACTGATAGAGAATGCTAAAGGAGAATATCCGACAATGTAACAAACAATTCTCTTCAAATTTCTCTACCTTTATAATTCATTATTTTAAGCATGTATCTGGCTGGGGGGAGATATAGGAAGAATATTTATGCAACCACGTACTTTGTATTATGTGATGAGTAATATGATTAGTAATTCAGAACTAATTACAAACATGTTGTTTAAATTAAACTTATTTTACACATATCTGTTGCGATGTTCCTACAACGAGTTTAGTGTTTTCACATGGTAGATGTCTTAGTAGAAGATGCAAGTTGCATACTAAATGTCATTGTAACTAAGAGTGCCATAATTGAACAGCACATTTAAAAATAATGTTGGAGTAGTGTTGCACCCTTAAATAATCAGAACGTGATGGCCATTAATCAAACAGATGAATGTTATGTCATGTTCATAAAGCTGTTACAATCATATTTTCATAAGTTTTCCATTTGTTTAACTTCCATTTTTTTCTTTCTTTTACAGGTTCTTGTGAATTTCTGCATCTTCCTTCTTGTATCATTCCCCTCCCCGCCCCCTTAGCCCTGGTGACTGCTTTCTGTATTCATGAGAAGAGAGAAGTGATGGCTCAGTGTTCACCCCTTGTGATGATTATTCCAGTGAAAGTTGCTGTTCTACTCTGAAGATGTCATTTGTCAGATTGATTCTACCGTGCCTTTCAGTGGCATGCACACATCTGGCCTCTATCAAAACCATGGACATATAGCTATTTAGGATTTGGGGAGTTTTGTTTAGGGTTTTTTTTTCTTCTTTTTTACATTCTTCAATATTAAGCAAATTAATGCTCCAATTTTAGCTTGGTCATATTTTTTCCCACCCTTCTTAAAGTGCTCATGCACAGCATTCTTCTTTTGCTGGGTATCTCATTCTCTCCCTCACCCTCTCCCCCTTCTAATTTAGAAGTGAGTGGGTTTGTATTAATGTTTTAAATCTGTCATTCTTTATCTGTGTTTTTGAAAGGTCTGGGACCTGCAAGCACAATGATCATTTCATACATTTAAAAATCAGCAGAGTAGATGACCGCATGCTTTGTGAAGTTGCTTGTATGGTGGCTTCTTTGGTGCCAGAAAAAAATTTTTTGTTACTGCGGACTCTGTTGCTGATGAAAAGTTTAGCTGTGGCCTGGATCGTGCCAGGTTCTGGAGAAGGACTTCTAACTTAGCTGCTTCAGAGTTATGTCTTAAGTTTTCATCCAACTGGTCTTGAAATAATAAAGAGCAAGCTTGCATTCATAAGGCATTTTGTTGTAAATGTTTAGTATATTTATTTTGAAAGAGCTGACCTCGAGATTGTAAACCAGTGTAGTACCGTATCTAAGTGTCGTGGTAGCGCTTTTTGTCTGTTTTAAAAAAGCATCATCATGTTTGGCTGCTTTTGTTTTCTTTTTCCTTTTTAAATTTTGCTTAATTTTTAGGCTATATGATCATTTCCAGTAGCAGCATGTCAAACTGCCTGCGGTATTAGCTGAAGTTTAGTAGACCTCTCTAAGTAGTTGGCAGTTTCTGTGTACTAAATATTTAGGGGCCATGTAAGTTGCTAAGAGCAACATACTGATCTGGCAGAACAGATGCCAGGGAAACAACATACAGGGTGACTTCTTACTATGTCAGTAAGAAGCCTTTTGCTCAGGTTCCAAAGCATGTTCCTCTTTCACATGTTGTGAAAATTGTATTTTAATATTGCACTGTACTCAGATATTTCTGTAAATGGTCCTTTCCTTTTTTTCCCTTCTTGTTGGTGATATGAAACAGAAGTCAATGGTTTGAATCCCAGCTGAGTTAAAAAAATTAAGTGAAAAATCATCCTCATCCTACATCAACATTTTAACTAGAAATGGGGCATAACTGAGCCTTATCAGAGAAAGCTAAAATATATATATATGTGTGTGTGTGTGTATGTAAAAACCTAAATGTGATACACTTAATTACTATTCTCTCATCCTAGCCCCGCTCCTACGTCCCATTTTATGTTGACCCCCAATTGGCATACATATCTGCTTTTTTCCCTGGTACTAAACAAAAAAGTCATGTTCTCACAAATATTACTGGACAGTAAGGCCATTGACTCTCTTCATGAGTAGTAAACTTGTAATCCAATTGTAGATGTAAATTATCTGGTTGAATAGTTCCAGTAAACTTGGATCATCTTCATTGATAGAGGTACTGATTCATGATGGCACAGGATTGAGATGTTCAGTTGTCTGGGATGCAAAAACACATGACAACATGGTGATGTGGGGTCCTCATTTCAAATGAATCCTTATCAATAGGCCTTTAAATATTCTAGGGTTACAAAATGATTTTCACTTTTTGTCATCACTTATTGAGAATTCATTTTAATGAGCAGGTTTCCTTGCACTTGTCAAATGTCTTCAGCTCAGTAGCCAGAAAAAAATTGACATATTTTTATAACAAACATACTTTTTTTGTACATTGTGTTCATCCTTGAATAAAGTCAGTTCAGTGTTGACTTGTAGATATTAAAAGGAAAGTATTGACTTTGATTCAATAAATGTTTTCTTTCAGTTGATGGTTTACCTTTCTTCTGTTCCAGAAATAATATAACACTTGTGCTCTGTAGACAATTTCATGGTGAGACTATCAGAATGTCAATCGTTTCCTATATCAGAGAAAGTTAGTATTGTTCACATTTAATATTTCTAGTGTCTTAGGCCATGTCCCCCTTTTTTTTTTTTGCCAAATGGGGTTTTGACCAATTTTGTTCTAGTAATAGGTACCTCTGAGAATCTAATGAAAGCATTAGGGTGCAAAAGTGGTTTTGCCCTTCTAGATATCTATTTATTACCTGTTCACCACTCCTTACAAGTACAAACAGCAGAGCCAAGCAAAACCACTTGCTTTTGGATGTCTTTTGAAACTTGGACTCCTCCCTCTTCTATACTTCCCAGTTTTTCCTCTGCTTTCCCTAAAGACAAAATGGGTCCATTGTGCTCTGGAAACAGATGCTGAGGCAGTCCACCTTAGCCATGCTTCTCTCCCCCTCCTGCCCTGCCCCCATTGCCTAACTCAAAGACAGAGAATAGGACTGTCACATGAGCACTTGTACAACAAAGATAACCTTCTTTCCTGCCACTAGTACAGAGTTTGGACAATTATGAATTGTTCTCTTCTTAAACAAAGTCTAGAGAAGGGGAAGACAGAATCTGAAATCCACAAAGATAAGGTTCATCTAGAGTGATGTCATGATCTTGATGTTTAATCCAGGAAATTGCTCTGAAAATCAGTTGTGCAAAATAAATCAGTGCGTTTACACACATCTATCCTTATCTTGCAGTCTTGTCAGTCTTATGGGACTGCTGGACAGATCCCAATAATTAAATATTGGTGACAAGAAGTGATAATTAAATTTTATATGTATTAATTGGATTTCCATATACCCAGCTACCAAAATGATCTGCCTGGAGCAGGGATTGCTGCCCCTGTGATTTTGAGTATGATTACACTGATTTTGAGGCACTAGCTCAAGTAGAGCTAGTGTTTATACATCTGCCTGGCTTGAGAGTCACATCTTCCAGCTGCTATGTAAGCGTACCTGGTGGCATTTCTGTAGCTCCTATTTCTAGAGTGTCAACAATCTAAAAAGCCACATTCATCCCTGGGCCAGATTAATTTAAAAAAAAATCCTGACCCCATTATAGTCAGAGAGAATTTTTCTATTGACCCTCAGTAGTGCTAGGATTTCTTCTATTGGGTAGATTTCCAAACAATCAAACGCCTCCAAAAATGTTAATGAAACTCCAGGCCATATAAAATTAATGAATAATTAATGAGTTAATAACTTCAATGCAGGAAGTGTGGAAGAAATACTATAAACTAGATTTTATTAAGCTTACGTGTTACACAGTAAATACTTCCCAGTTGTATATTTATGAAGTACCAATCTTTAACGTCTACCAATATGACCGATTGAATCCAAGCAAATAAAATCCAGGGACAGGAGCCTCTGAGAGCAAAAGATATGATGTAGAATGCAGCAGGTATCAAGAGAAGGTGAGATTTTCTTCTAATGAAAAGTTGGAGCAGAATAAGCCCGACCTTGAACAAAGGCAGACAGTATGGAAGTGGTGAAAGAATTAGACTCCTTGGATTTGAGTAGTGATTAGAGACTGATGGGGTGAGGGAAAAGGGGACACACAAGTTGGTAGGAGAATTAATGAGTAGAGACAGTTATGGATTGAAGTGTGATTGGAGCTTTCTAGAATAACCCAAAGAACAGAATGAATGGGCATTTTGTGGTTTATAGGAAACAAATTAGCATACAGTGACAGTAACACAAGAGAATTCTTTAAAAATGGATTTATTAGTAACATTTTCTCTTACCAAGTTGTGGCTGGTTCCTAATCCAAAAAGCAAAAGCATATATGCATTACCAATAACTTGGTGCAAACACTTAGGTTGCCTCTACACTGCACCGTTATTTCGATATAACTAGTGTTATTTCGAAATAACAATGTGAGAGTCTGCACAGCCATTTTGTTATTTCGAAATAACGTGCGGCTTGTTCCGAAACCTGCAAACCTCTTTCTATGGGAAATAACACCTATTCCGAAATAGGTATTTTGAAATAAGGCATGTCTAGGCACTCCACTGCTGCTGTTTCAAAATAGCCCCTCACCAGGGCCATTGTAAGTTATTCCTCCCCAGTGCCTCGTGGAGCTCTAAATCGAGGTAGCATGTCCACATTAGGGAAGCCTACATTGGAGTATTTTTTTAGGCTTCCTTGCAGTGTAAATGTGCTATTTTAAAATAAGCTACTTAGGAATAACTATTCCAGAATAGCTTATTTCGAAATAAGCGTGCAGTGTAAATGTGCCCTTGGTGATATGAAGATGTCTCCTGTCACACAATCTGGGTTTGAGATTTTAGTGATTCAAGTCATACAGCCAACAGTTTTGAACATGGGAATCTTAAGTTATATCCATACATAGACATCGAAGACCAGGTCTATATTGGTGGAGAAAATCAATGTAAGATGAGCAATTCTAGCTACTACAATTGTGTGGCTGGAGATGACATACCTTACATCAATTTTCTGGGGCAGCCAGATAGTGGGAAGTCGACAACAGAAACACTCCCATTGGCTTTCCTTACTCTTCGCAACTGCAATGAATACCACGGTTGATGTGGGCACTGTCAGCGTTTGATTTAGCAGGTCTTTACCACACTGTCGATCTCCATGGCAGTGAAGACAAACCCTAAATAAGTAGTCTGATTTATAGATTCATTGAATACAGACAACATTTATGGAAATCTGTGTAAGTGGCAGATGATTAGTACCTTTGAAAATCAAGCAGTTTATCTAAATGCCTCCATATGGAAGTGTTGAACTTTAGGTACCTGAATTTGAGCTATTTTGGTCTAATTTTCAGATGTTCAAAGTGGTGTTAGTGGAGGTTGCCACCTTCAAATAAAAGTGGAGTACACTGTACTCCTTTATTAGCCCTGATCCTGCATCCAGGGGAGAGGAAATTTTGCCACTGACTTCTGTGGGAGCAGGCTCAGCCCCTCTTTGTGTGGCTACTTGGGAAAGAATTAAGACAGAGGCTGCAAAATGAAGGGTTATTCTCTTGAACAGGTTTTATTCTTTGTCCCTTAAACCTGTTGTAGATTTTTTTTTTTAGTTGGCATATAAGATTCTATGCACATTATTGTGGTGATTAGCAGTGAGAATTATATTTAAACATAAATCTAATTTGCACGTCTCAAGAAAGTGTTTGTGCTGTCATATGACCAGTAGGGAACATAAATAACCAAGTTAACTGCTTATTTTAGTCAAAGTTTCAGAGCCAGGTTAGTCTGTATCTGCTACAGGACACCTTGTGCCACAGGACTTGTTGTTTTAATCCAAGTAATAAGAATAGCAATGACTGAAATAAGAGGAAGGCTCTAAATTACTGGATATCTTTTAATAAAACTCTGAAAGGAAAAAAAACAACAACAAAGACCCAATAAAATATTCAAAAGTATCAAAGCCTAAGACTTGTATTGGAAAACAGAATTTTTTGTACTTAAATTGGGATGTAGAAGGAACTGCTTTTACTTTGTCTCTTCACAAAGATCATCTCATTCTTACTAGTTAGTCCTCCAGGCTGGTTAGCATTGGATCAAAACACCATTTTAAAAAATAAACATTCTGGTGGGCTTATTCCATTTTTTTAATGGGAAAACATTACATTTTAGCTCTGTAATATGTGTTAAAAAAAACCCAAAAAACCCCAAACTACAGTTGTGAGAACCATTTAACCCCCCCAAAAACCCCAAACTACAGTTGTGAGAACCATTTAAAATGATTTATATTTTATACATGCAAAGCTTGTTTCTAAGCATTTTTACAGTTGCTATGTGACAAAAATGCATCATCATATAATTTATAAGGCCCAGTCTCTTAAAAGTAAGAAAATGAATAATTGAGGAAATTCATAAATCTTACAGTGCTTACATAATAAACTTAAATCCATTATTTTTTCCTAATAAAAAGACACACGGCTTTCATCAGGATCCAAGTATTTTCTTTCAGGGATAAAATTAAGTGGGAAATTAATATATCAACAGAATTTTAATAAGATTTATAATTGCTGTTTCCTGATAAAATTACTGGTTAATAAATGAAGTACATGAAGCTGATTTGTTACAATTACTTATGCATGTTGGCTTGGACTGAAGCTGAGCAGTGTGTTTATAAATGCAGTGTTACCACACATAAGTGGTCAGAATCACAAGTCAGGCCGCCAAAGCGTATAAGAATAGGATAAAAAACAGGAGATGTATTTATTTATTAAAAAGCCCTCTGGTTTGGAATGCATAGATTGTATATTTTACAACTTTTACCTTGTTGTTTTGTATTCAAAACAAAACAAAACAAAAACAGGAAAGAAAGGTAATAGTCTCATATGCTGTGACTCCAGAATCTGAATCTTTAAAAAACAACAAATATTCCAGTATTTGTGATTCAATTGCAAAAGCTGGCAACATTGTTTCATGTGTAAACAGAGAAGAGCTTGATTGCTTTTTCATAAGAGGTTTGTGTTGTGCTTATATTTTGAGATTTCTAATGAAAGAATAATATTCTGTTGTGATAACATGTATTTCTATGTTCTGGATGAAAATAGTGTGCATGTGTCTTATGTGGTCAGTATAAGATTTATGGATTTCTGTAATTATTCATTTCCTTGCTTAAGTTTATCATAGTTAAGTACATTCCCATTGATTTTTTTAAACATCCTGTCACCCAGCCATTCGGGGAGATATTGGTAATGAACTCCTGTTTTGTGCACCTTACCCAATAAAACAAGCTGCAACATGCATAGCAAGGTATGCACATTTATTATGCAGCTAAATTGTAACTCTTTCACTCCAAGCATTCGTGAAAAGGCAGTGAACTGTCAGAGCCTGGTCTCTGTGTTCCACAGGAAATACCTGCCCACTGGTACCTTCCACTCAAGTCCCAGAAACTCTCTCTGTCTTAATAGTCCTTGACTATACTAGTGCTTCACGTTTTTCATCT